GTGTGTCAGGAAAGACTCTTCTATGACAAGTGTGAGAAGTTGCAGTCATTGAGTTTAGCTGTAAGAAAGTTATTTCACACATTCCCAGCAACGATTCCTATTAACTGGAGACTTACCTCCCATTGTCAGAAAAGCACAAAGAAGGAAAACTCCCCACATCGGCTGCAGGACGCCACGCGCCAGGCACTGCATCCCCATAGCCAGCAGAAGGTCCACTCCCACCTCCCCTCCCTGTCGGTGAGGGACGAAGTTCAATCTGGATGCAAAACCTAGAAAAAAAAGCAAGGGGAGGAGCTCCTTTCTTGAAGGGATGATGTTAAGCTTTCATCCAAGCTGCGCTGGGTTCCATTGTACGAGTGTAATCACATGAAAATTTTCTATATATGAATCCACAGGTTTTAGTCCAAGTGATTTTGTGAACATTGAACATTAGAATTGTGTGGCAAAGAACAGAGATAAGAAATGAGAAAATGACATAAAGCAAAGTCAGAAGTGGTCAATTTCTCTATACCAAGTTTCTCTTTCTCAAAACATGAGAAAGTGGGAAAACGTGCTAGTAGAGAGGGGTTATGCACACTTTATTTGTAAGGTGCATGTGTGCGTGTGTGTGTGTGTGTGTGTGTGTGTGTGTGTGTGTGTGGTGTAGTGGTGATATTTGTGACAGTTCCGAAGAGATGGGAGAGGTTTTCTACCATCTAAATGTATCTCCCAACAGTCAATGAGGTTTTTTTAAATATCTAAAGGAATGCAATATATCTGTCTGTACATATGTATAGAGAAAGAAATGTGAAACAAGAAAGGAAACTATTAACATTAGTCACTTCAGAAGGTTGAGATTTAACAGAAATGGTGAGAATATTAACCATTTTTCTTTTACATCTCTGTTTCATTTGACCTGTCATTTTTTATGTAATAAAATGAGAATTTGAAAAAAAGGAAAGGAAGGAAGGAAGGAAGGAAGGAAGGAAGGAAGGAAGGAAGGAAGGAAGGAAGAAAAGAAAGAAAGAAAGAAAGAAAGAAAGAAAGAAAGAAAGAAAGAAAGAAAGAAAGAAAGAAAGAAAGAAAGAAACTAGAAGGGAGGGAAGGAAGGAAGGAAGGAAGGAAGGAAGGAAGGAAGGAAGGAAGGAAGGAAGGAAGGAAGGAAGGGAGGAAGGAAGATTTCAAACTATTTCCCAATTTTCACCAAAAAAAACTTATGTCTTTGAGACTTAGTTTTCCCAAGCTAATGTATGTACCCCTCACATACAGTATTTTTGCTAAAGGAATTTATATCTCTCATGATTCCTCTGGATTTACTCCATATAGCAGACACAGTACAGAACTTGGTTTTAACACAGATAATACTGCCATCTTGTGGCCAGATATAGCTTTGCAATGTTACACACATACACACACAAAGTGCTAAACATCCTATCTAATAAAAAGGTAATATGCAAATTGACCATCACTCCAACACACAAGATGGCTGCCCTCATGTGGTCAAAGCTGGCCACCCCCATGTGGACACAAGATGGCTACCCTTAGATGGCCAGCAGGGGAGGGAAGTTGTGGGTGATCAGGCCTGCAGGGGAGGGCAGTTACAGGCAATCAGGCCTGCAGGGGAAGGCAGTTAGGGGCAATCAGACCAGCAGGGGAGCAGTTAGGCGAGCAGAGTGCTCTCACTAATTAGGTGACATCTGAACAGAAACTAGAAAGGATGATGGAGGACCCCTGATAAATATTTGGGGGGAGACAGTGATCAATTGAGACTTCACATCACCTCTAAGAAACTGGAAGCCATCCAAAACTACTAGTATACTGACAAGGTTATTCCCTGCAGCCCCCTTTCCAGGGACCTACTAGAAATGTTTGCTGCTGTTCTCTCTCAAGACAAAATAATAAAGATTTGGGTAGGGGAGATCTCATTAGGGAAATACTACTTTAGAATAGAATTTCCCCTGAGATTAGAATTTTTCTTCAACTCTCTTGACAATGTTTTTCTAATTATTATTTGGAGTAAGAGAGGCAACAGCTGATGAAAACAAATGTAAAATATGACTCAAGCAATATAGAAATCACACTCTTCAAAAAGCCCTGAAAGGCAGGTGCTCTCAGAGATTCTGAACACTTGTTTCAGGTAAACTCCTGAAAGAATTCTAAAGCCTTTCCAAAACAGTCACAGGAGCCCTTTGCAATCGGCTAACCTGAATCTCTGAAGGACATCTCTCTCTCTGCTGGACCATCCACTCAAGGACAGCCTGCCTCCTCCATGATTTTGCAGCTCTGTACATGTGAGTCTAAGAGGATGGAAAAGCAAGCTTGAAACCAGCTCTGTTCAGAATGAGGCCATTAATTTTGAAACTTTAAATTTTTCTGTTATTTTATTCAAATATAAATTTAGCCAGTTCCTTTTCTCCATCTTCTCAATGGCTCTTTACCAAACTGCTAGAATTATGTTTCTTCTTTCGAAATGTAGGGAATTTCTTTTTTTGTGTGTTGAAAAAATAAATCTTATCACTATTTTATTTTCATTTTCTCTCTTCATCTCTCTCTCTCTCTCTCTCCCTCTCTCTCTCTCTCTCTCTCTCCACTGATAAAGGGCAAAGTTGGGCAGTGATAAAGTCATAGACGTTGTGAAGAAGAGCCTGGTAATTCTGTAAACACAGGCCAAATTGGTAACTTTTTCTGTCTCCAGTGAGAACACAAAGTGCCTTTCTTTCAGCAAGCTCATTTTTTAAAGCTTTTGGTAGAATGGCAAGAATATCCTCTTGTGGAAAGAGATAAAATATATCTAGGGTACCCCAAACTCTACCCAATTCCCTTACTCTGCCCTAGCTCTACCTGGATCTCTAACTAAATGAATGTGAAGGAAGGGAAATCTTTCCAGAAACAGATTGGGGCTGGGTCTTTTCCCAATGATAACTAGAAGTCCTTTGATCCTAGAATGTCTAACACACACTGGACCAGTCTTCATTCCTCATCTTTGGGATCTCATAACGTTCCCTAATGGCCCAGATCCCAAAGTTCACTGTAGAAATCAAAAGTTAAAAATAGCTGGATATGCTCACACCAAACTGGCCTAGTGGGGGGGGGGGGAGGGGCAGTGGACAGAGTGCACAGAAAGCAGCCTATCTCATGATCCCATGGCTCCATTGAGTTCTCTAAAAAGTGCTCTTGGCAACTCCCAAACCCATCCTTATCTTCTCAATACCACTCTTTCACACTGTCCCCATAGCCTTTCCCTAGAGTTTCCAGGATAACTGCTTTTTAAACAAGTATGATTTATCCTCTAATGTCAGTAGGCCCTGATTTGCAGATAGTTTTCATATTGAATTTTAACCTCATGCTGTTTTTATGTGCTTTCATATTTAAATTCCAACTATTTTTACATGGTTTTAGCAACATCAAATAGTCTAAAATTTGTAAATTCTTTGGCTACCCTAGGATAGATATTCTAAAATTATTTACATAGTGGACACGAGAATCTACCAGAAGGAGAAGGGGGAACAGCAGGGACTGTGGGGAGGAGACTGTTCTCTCCAAAAACCCACCTTCTGGATATCCACTCTGCTCACCTTGCTGCACCAGACTGCCCTCCTCTGCAACCCCTAAACACCTCCATCTTTTGCCCAGTCGGCCCGTAAAGGTAACCTTGCCTCACACCCACCAACCATAACCCATCTCTGTTTCCTGGTCCTACCAAGTCAGGGCACTCAGAACTGAGAAGGTAAAGGAGCTTTCTTCCAACAGGGCACCTGGGAGAAGTGAGATCGGATGTATGCACAACAAGTGGGAAACATAAGACTGGCAAAACAAATAAGTTAAGGGAAGTTTTTGCACCATACATCAATATGCATTATGGAAATCCTTCAAATAATCCCCCAAGGAGTAGTTTTAACTGAGATGATATACAATTAATTTTATAAAATACTTCAGAAATATATAATTTGCCAAGTAGAAACACATTGCTATTATATGTATGTATTGACAAAAATGTTACTTTCACTCATTAGTGGTATTTTATGTCTAACCTTATCTTAACTCTTTCTGTCTCTTTTCTATACCCTCGCTAAAGAAATAAGAAATAGTCTTACCATTAATTTTCTTTTTTTAATTTTTATTTATTGATTTGAGAGAGAGAAAGGAGAGAGAGAGAGAGAGAGAGAGAGGTTTTGTAGTTCCCCTTATTTACGCATGTATTGGTTGCTTCCTCTGTTTTCCCTAATTATGGACATTCTAACCAAGAATGATAGAAGGATGTTCTAAGATGTTGCTTAAGAAATTTGGCAATAGCAATATAATGGGTTGCGTGCTCTGAAAAGTGTAAGCATGGTCCCTGGGGATCAAGAAGGCCTTTTAAAGGAAAAGTGATGAAGGGAGCATTACACAGGGAAGGGACAGAGAAGGCAGCCTGTGCATGGGAGCATGCTACTAGGAAAGCCTTTAGGTGTCCTAAGCATCTGAACAACAACAAGGAATTGTAAGGGGAATGGAAAATAAATAAAAGTGATAAGATACAATGGTAAGGGCCAGATAATGAATATTTTTGCATTGTGAGGAGATGGGATTTTAGCAGAGCACAAAGAGGAGGCATTGCAATGATGGTAAATGGAGGGAGAAGTAGAGGTAGTAATTGTAGCATACACATTCCACACTGCTCAGCCGCAATGTTAGCCCCTCTTTGTTGAACCCTTTTTGGTTGGAGTATTAAGTTCTTCCCTATCAGTCACAAGTTACACTGTTCCTTGATCAGCCAAATACTGCTTCTCAGTATCTCCCAACAGATAAGTTTCCATCCATCTAAGAAACTAAACAGCCTCTGGATGGTTTTCTTAATAAGTAAACCAAAATAACTAAGGGCAATACCATCTCTTCTTTAAAAAACAAAGTTTTTAAATAGTATTCCATTTCTTTCACAAGTCATAGGCATATTCATCAGACAAAAGCATTCTTATCACCTTCGTGTGTTGTATTTCCCTTGTCTGACTTCACCATTCATCTTAGCAGAATACAGAAAGAACATGAGAAAGACCAAAAACACATCTCTGGACACCGTGGTCACAGATTTCATTCTCCTGGGCTTACCTCACCCCCAAAATCTGAGGATCCTCCTCTTCCTGGTCTTCTTCATCATTTACATCCTCACTCAGCTGGGGAACCTGCTCATTCTGCTCACTGTGTGGGCTGACCCAAAGCTCCATGCTCGCCCCATGTACGTGCTTCTGGGTGTGCTCTCATTCCTGGACATGTGGCTCTCCTCAGTCATTGTTCCTCGTCTAATGTTGGACTTTACTCCTGCCAACAAGGCAATACCGTTTGGTGGTTGTGTAGCTCAGTTGTATTTCTTTCATTTCCTGGGCAGCACCCAGTGCTTCCTCTACACCTTGATGGCCTACGACAGGTACCTGGCAATATGCCGGCCTCTGCGCTACCCCATGCTCATGAATGGTAAGTTATGCACCATCCTTGTGGCTGGAGCTTGGGTGGCTGGCTCCATCCATGGATCTATCCAAGCCACCTTGACTTTCCGTCTGCCCTACTGTGGGCCCAACCAGGTGGATTACTTTATCTGTGACATCCCTGCAGTATTGAGACTGGCCTGTGCTGACACAACTGTCAATGAGCTTGTGACCTTTGTGGACATTGGGGTAGTGGCTGCCAGTTGCTTCATGCTGATTCTGCTCTCCTATGCCAACATAGTCCATGCCATCCTGAAGATACGCACTGCTGATGGGCGACGGCGGGCCTTTTCCACCTGTGGCTCCCATCTCACCGTGGTCACAGTCTACTATGTCCCCTGTATTTTCATCTACCTCAGGCCAGGCTCCAAGAGTCCCCTGGATGGAGCAGTGGCTGTGTTTTACACTGTTATCACTCCATTTCTGAACCCCCTCATCTATACACTGAGGAACCAGGAAGTGAAGTCTGCTCTGAAGAGAATAGCAGGAGTTCGAGGGGCTGCAAGTGAAAATAAGTAACCATAGGCTCAGGAACCACCTACATCACTGTCACGACCACTCTTTTGAGCTACTGCAGCATGTGGCAAACATTCAATAAACTGTTAATGAATTAAACTCAATTTAATTCTATTTAGAAGAAACTTCTGAACTCTTTGGATTCATAATCTTTTCATCTCATTAAACTGGTTCAAAATGTTTTACATTATTTGTTTAGAAATATGAATATTTTACTTCTACCACCTCTATTTTGTTGTATAAGAAAATGCCTTATCAAAGCTTGAATAGAATGAGAATGTGTCAACCTCTTCAGAATTATATTATGCCAGAAAATGCAAAAGAAGAAAAAATGACATAATGTTTGGCCTAGCCCTTTTTTCACTATTTCTGTCCCTAAACCCTAGATTTCTATAAATTCTGTTTCTTTGTTTGTGCATGGCATAAACATTTAAAAGCACTTAAACCTGAAAATACTGGACCATTTATATTTCCCTCCTGTCCCTCACTCTTCCCATGAGCTCAGACATTAAAATCTGTCTCCTTACTTTTAGAGAGTCTCTCTTAATTCCTAAATAATCTTTTGTCCTTTTCCTTCCTCATCCACACCACCGTCAAAAGTATCCTTCTGAAACATACAATTTGTAGGACTCTCCAATGAATGTAAAATAAAGCCAGTCTCCTTAATCTGGAATTTAAAGTCCAAAAAATATCTGGACCCAACAAACCTTGTTTCCCAAGACATCTCTACTCTCCTTTCCCTCTCCCATCCTCACTGCTTTACTACCATTCCTTGAGTATGCCCAATACTTGCTTGCCAAGCTCTCTCCTCTATGTGGAATACACTTCCCATCCAAATCCATATTGTCTAACTTCTTAGGGACTTTTCTTAAAAGAGTGTCAAACTATGCCTTCATAATTTCTTTTTAAAAAAAACTTTTTAATGAAGATCTTGGCCTTTATATTTCTTTCAACTGATTTCCTTCAATTCCCTGGACCCCAGAGTACACATGCAAGTGACTCTTAAGGCATATGGATGGTTCTGATTTCCCAAAAGAAAATATATGGCACACTCAAAACAAGATAATTTGAGGAGGGTTTCTATTTACAAAGATGTGGGAGTAAGGGAATCACACAAAAAAAATTTGAGTAATCTGGGGCTTAGTGACATTCAAACTATTTACCACCCCTAGACCAGATAAGACAAAGGTGGGGGAAATTAGGAGAGCCAGGAGAAAAAGGGTCGCATAACTTTCCCAAGTCCTCTCCTCCAGAGTAATGACACACTTATATACAGCCCCATAGATGTCTAGGTTTTCCTGAGCTACATGTGTAACAGTGAACAATTACCCCTGAGATAGGGTATACTCTTGTTGATGAGAGTATCTTCTACCACCACTCTCTCGGTTATTTTTTCCAGGAACTAGATCTAAAGAAAATTTAACTGCCACAGTGAGAACATGCTCCAGACATCTGAGTATCAGTATGGCTCTGGAAACTCCACAGACACCGCAAGGACTAGGAAATAACTGGACAAGGATGTTCTATCTTGCTCACGCTGAGGAGAACAGAGAGCACCAAAAGTCTCAAAGCAAAGGACACTAACGTTGGATTCATTCCTACATACCCAAGGGAACAAGGTGGAGAGATGTTCAAACATCAGAGCTCGGGAAGCTTCACCATAAACATAGTAGATCATTGAATTAGATGCACTCCAAATTCCTCCTAATCTTGAGAACCTACCTTCTTGTATGCTGTGAGATTTTAGCTGAGCACCAGTGGAGCCAGGGTTGAACTTAGAAGTTTCCGATTCCTGATACTTTACACAGCTACTGCTCTTTGAATGTGACAACTGAGCTGACTCCCCAGTCACAGTAATTCCAAATACCTTGGTTCCTACCCTCTAATAATGACTTGCTCCAGCTCTAACACCCAGATGGAAATGGGAAAAGGTCAGCTAGAGGAGAGAAATTCTATTGGCAGACATATAAAGAGAGGTGTTGCTCCTTCTTGAAAATCTCTGTGGTTGAAAAACATGTGGTTTTAAAAACTTAAAACTTTAGGGGGAAATAGGTATGAAAACAAGATCAGAATGAACCTACATAAGTCCTTATGAATATTCCTCATAGTCATTTAATTAAATACAAGGATAGCATGCTGAGTAAAGAAAATATCAATAACTTACTTGTCTTCAAATTTAAGATAGTTGATATTCTATAGTTTATTTCCATTTACCATTCACTATTTGCTAGAACTCTTTTAGAATCTATCTCCCTACTCATCTCAATGAGGTGCTTGAACTTTTATTTTTTAATAGCACATAAGTCATTTGCTTCAGTGTTAAATTCTCCATTCAAATGCTCAGTATCATTCTGCTTTTATATCTTGGAGTCTCCCATTATGAACCCAGATATCTTTGAGTAATTTGAAAATTAAGATTTTTTAGATAGTCCAGCCAGTGTGGCTCAGTTGTTGAGCATCAACCTATGAAACAGGAAGTCACGATTCAATTCCCAGTCAGGGCACATGCCAGGGTTGTGGGCTCAATTCCCAGTGCGGGGCATGCAGGGGACAGATGACCAATGACTCTCATCATTGATGTTTCTATCTCTCTCTCCTTCCCCATTCTGCTCTGAAATCAATAAAAATATATTTTTTTAAAAATATTCTTTGGATAACTTGACTTGTAGTCTTGTAATTATCTGACCCTTACTCAGCTCATGACTAATTCATATTATAAAATTTTTTATTGAATTTATTGGGGAGACATTGGTTAATAAAATTATATAAGTTTCAAGTGTATAACTCTAAAATACATCATCTGTATATTATATTATGCATTCACCATCCAAAGTCAAGTGTCCTTCCATATACTATAAAATTATAGTAAGCACATGACATCAGCGTTGTTTTTATACATCTCAGTTTTCTTGCTCCTAAAGACAATGAAGTCCAGTTCTGAGGGTCAAGTTTATTTCTCCTATACTTGCGTGAGTTCAGGAATCTTTTATTCAGGTATGCACTCCAGAAACTGAAAGAGAGCCTAGCACATATTAGGTGCTCAATAAATTTTTTTTTTGCATGAAAAACATTCACTTTACCTTAATTTCCTAGCTCCTACCACTAAGTCCCTCTTATTCTATTTATCCCAAAAGGATGAACCAAAATTAACTGGTAGAAAAACACAAGCATCCAAAGCTAAAGGGAAAAATATATAGAAATAAGTATATGTACTAAGATACAGAGAAAGCAGAATTCACACATAAGGGGAAAAATCTGTATTTCCCTCTACATATAGAATATATAGGCTATAATGCTTAACTAACATCAAAGACTTTTGGGTAGCATACAAGAATTACAATTCAGAAAAAGAAAATCTTTAAACTGAATACCAAATTTTACTCTTCTTCATGTTCATTGTCCAGTACTTTTATGGGAATTCCCTGTTGGCCATGTCTTTCCCACCCCCACCCTCTACCTCATTGCATGACCTCAGTCTTCTGTTCCATAGAGAGAAGTTCTCCTCAATCTTCCCTTCACTCCTTAAGTCCACAGATGCTGCACTCACCAAACTACTCCTACTTTGGAGCACAAAAAATTTAAATAATATCAAACTAATTCCTCCAAGAAATACAAAAATAAGGACAGATTTTTTTAGAATTAAATGCAATCTTAATATCGCAAGCTGAGGCATTTCCCTTTACTTCACAAGTTTTAGAGCCCTCCAGGGATAAATGAACAAGTATATGACTTGCCATTGCACAAACTAAAGTACTCACCAAGGGGTCCTTCCTTTGAATAATGAGCTTTCTCTAAAAACAAATTCTATCTTCCATCCTTAGGACCACAGGATAATAGGATGAGGAGGGGAAAGAGAAGAAAGAGAAAGAGCAGGCCCTGGCCAGTGTTGCTCAGTTGTTAAGAGTGTCAGCCTGCACACTAAAGGGTCTTAGATTCATTTCCCACTCAAGGACATGGACCTGTATTGCAGGTTCAGTCCCCGCCCCAGTCGGAATGTATTCAGTCTAAAAATCAATGGAAAAAGTATCCTCTGGTGAAGATTAACAACAACAAAAGAGAGAGCAGTTCAACCATCCTTCTAGAAATCCAAGGATCAGAAATACTAGAATTAACTTTCAGAGTCCTCTGCTACATTATTCTAAACAAGTTTATAATTAGAGGTATAGCAGGCATACACTCAGAACATAACAGAACTTCTCAAGCCCACCCATGCTTGTATATTTGCCAGGAAAGACAGAAAAGTATTGGAAATGACATGCAGCAGCTGGAGTCAAAGCAAAGTCACCATTGCATGCAGTGACTTTCAGACTTGAGGCTAAGAACAGTAAGCTATTGTAAGAAAGTACAAACAAAACCCAGTACACAACTGATTCCAGATAAGTTTGTGGGGGAGAAAATCACCCCATAATTTTAGATGGGACCAAGTTGTCTACCAAACCTGCCAAACCCCAACAAAGAGAGCAAGTATCCAAGGAGTACTCCAACTATTTGAAACCATCCTCTGTCTCTACTGCAATGAGAACAATGGAGTCCTCAAGACTAAACTGGAGGTGACTAAATTTTACTCAACTTATATAAATTTAGGGTTGTTTATATCAATACTAGAGGCCCAGTGCACAAAATTTGTGCACTGGGGGGAGGGTGTCCCTCAGCCCGGCCTGCACCCTCTCGCAGTCCTGGATCTCTCTCACAGTCCGGGATCCCTCTCACAGTCCAGGACCCCTCACTCCTCACCACCCGCCTGTTCACTGCTCCTTAGCACTGCTGCGGAGGTGGAAGAGGCTCCCGCCACCACTGCTGCGCTCACCAGCAGTGATCCCGGCTTCTGGCTGAGCAGCATTCCCCCCGCTGTGAGTGCACTGACCACGGGGGGTGGGGATGGGGGAGAGGAGGCAGAGCTCCTGCAATGGCATCTGCCCCCTGGTGGTCAATGCACATCGTAGCAACCGGCCGGTGGTTCTGGTCATTCCACAGTAACGATCGCTTAGGCTTTTATTATATAG